AATCTAACACTTTCCAAAACCTTGGCAATCTTGAAGACTCTGACAAAGAAGACATTTCAACTCTTCTGGTGAATTGTTTTGCCTTGGAAGATGGAGGGTAAGGGAGCACGTGGAAGCCCATGGCAATCGCTTTTCTCCATCAATGTTGTCATAGAACTCCAATACAAGCGAACCAGGAAATCCAAGGGGAGGAATTCTCTCTGCTCCTGTTAGAAAAATTAGGAGATCTGATAGCTTTAGCTCTGGGATTTCACCTTCTGCTAGATCCTGTAGGAACAGTTCAAAACTGTACATTGCTTGTTCCTCTCCTTGCCTTTGGTTTGACCCAACATCAGAATAGGATACTTTGTACAACTTTTTGAAGGCAASAAGGGTTATATCATCTTCTTTATCACTTAGGATTTCATCAAAGACTGTTGGATTGGACATGACAATGTCTCCTAATGATCCAATTTCATTCATGCCTCTTTTAAACTGACTGATTTCAGCAAAAACTCCAAAAACAAAAACTTGTTTTAATAAACAGTTAATCATCTCATCTCTCTGGTTATATTTGCAAGTGTAGACATTTGAATAGCCATGTGCTGCTACAGTATCTGCGTGTTTACTGACATTTGACTGGAATTCATCTTCAGAGCAGCTGTCAAGGTCAGTTATGGCCTCTCTCAACTTTGTGTCGGTTATCTTCTTAATTGCCACTTTACTCTCCACAGGGATGTCTTGAAGGATACAGTATGCCTCTTTTGCCAAACACTTTGGTCCACTTCCACCATGGAGGACACTCCAAGCAACCAGTTTTCCAGCTTGGTAGTACTTGTCGTTACTCAACATTCTCAGGTCATGTGAGAACCAGCTACCTTCAAAGATGCCAGTTTCTTTAAGACTACTCATAAGAAGTCGAAAGAATTCACGTGTTGGCCCACCAACATCTACTGCATCTTCTCCACTAAAACTGATGGCAAGGGGATTGCAAAGGCTAAAACTTTTTCTTTCGATTGCAGCTAAAGTCGACTGCATGATTTTTTTGCGCAATATGATAACATGGACAAGGTCCCCTTCAGTTTTATAGTTGTCTGAAATGAAGCTTTGAATGACTTCATGGGCATTGATCGATGCACTAGTACATGTACTTGCCACTGGTCTATGGTTGTAGGTATCTTGGAGGCTTGCATTGATAGCAGCCAACAAATCTACATCTTCGCCATCATCATCCCACACATCTATGTAGTATTCATACAGCTTATTACTGGTGCTTGGCACTGATGGTTTATCGATTGCTAATGCTGATTTATAAAGTTCATTGTCACTATCAGAAGAATCTGTCGAAAAAATATCCATTTATTACCATTATTACCAATGAAATGCCTTTCTCATATTAAAGCAAATAGGGAAAATACTGTTGAAAAGAATAAGAATATCTATTACTGCTGCAGAGATTTTAAAAGTTTTCAAAATATGTAAATTAGCACCTGGTGATGTCACATGTTAATGTATAAGTAAGCCAGGTTGTTTCCCAGTGTTATGTAACTTATGCTGCACACCTWAAGTCACAATAGCTGAAGACAAATGCTCCTTTTCTTTCTATTGTGACCTAATTAGTGGGCATAAATAATATTGCACTGATGATCAACCATAAGCCATTAAATATGTACATACAACCTACTTACCAGCTGTTAATGATATAGTAGGAATAGCTTTATGAGACTTGCCTTGCATCTTATTTTCACTACGATCTTTCTCATCGGCATCATCGTCTAATTCACTACGATCATTCTCATTGTCATCATCATCTAATTTATAAAGATATAAATTATAATTTAAGGTAAAATATAATTTAAAAAAATGATCTATAAAAGAATAGTTTAATATRATATAACTTTTAACGAACATCTACATGCAAAAGATGCTGACCAGTACAAGGAGTCTGATTCTGAGGACATAAAGTGTAATATAATGTCTAGTTGAACCAGGTCACATGTATGAGAGTTGTTTTGACAAATTTAGATAAAGGTAAAAATGCAGAGCACATAGGAGTAAATGACAGGGGGTCTGGTATTATCACCACAACTTGGTTGGGCAAGGTTGTGCTGCCAGGACCTCAAAATCCTGACACTCATATCCCAGTACTAAAATTTGCATTTTTCAGATACCCAACCGCAGACTAAACCTAGGAGTTGTACACCCTGCCCAAGGCTAAAAACATCAGTTGTTCAATAAATCTCAATAAGCATTTACTCATTGTTTTTCTGAATTTAGATTATTTTAGTAACTGCAGAAATCTGTAGCCTATACACMTTTACCATAATGGCTGCAATTGTGTTTTTCCAAAATAAGATAGATATGAATATTTTGTCASTGTAACATTCAAGAACTATCAGAAATAAAAGTTTTTGGAACATTTTAGAGCTTTTGACAAAATAGGAAAAAAGGTACAGTGAAATGAAAATACAAGGAAAAATGTTTGTAATTTTCCACCATAGCTGTCTGTCTATTTGTTTATGTGAATGTCATGTGAATGAACTACCAAATTACAGTATGTCAATATTTTTATATTCCATATTTGAAGAAATATMTGTACAGGATGCACCGCCATGTTTAATTRTTAATTACTTAAAATCACATGAAAAATTGGCAAATACGTTAACCGATTATATTGGGTAAACTCGATAGCACACCATTGTAACTTARTGTCACGAGAAAACGAACAAAAAAAWTATTGTTTGGAATTTAGGTGTCTATAGATAATATTAAGCTTAAATTATACATGATCTGAGAGTATAAACTTACAGAAWTCATGGATTGGGATCATATACAGCGTTAGACGTTTAAATTCTTTTCCAGCAGCATCTTTATATGCAGCTAACGTGAAATTATCCTTGGTACCAGGCACGTATTCAACTTCGCTGAAATCAGGATATAGTAGCTTGTAGGGTACAGAATCATCAAATGTTTGGTCAAAATCGGCGTGTTTTTCGAAGGCCTTTTTAAGAATGTCATCTCTAGTAGCAGAAGATTTGATTCGGACGATTTGTGTCTTGCCTCTTCGGGACTTGATTACGCCTTCACTTGAAGAATATGCTAATCCCACTTTGATCTCGACCTCTTTAACTTCGCTTTTCTTTATATCTTTTTGAAATTTACCCTTTTTTTNAGAGCCTCGATATATTCCTAATAATTACTACGGTACGAAAGCGTAAACAGGGAATGTATCCCACTTGATTGATGATATTTTAAACAGAACACCAACTACATTGCGTGTACATTGGTTATGGGCGGCCATATTGGAACGCCACTTCGCCATGACAACGGCCGACCAAGAGGTGACTCTTCTAGCTCTGGACCGGCCACCATGTAGCACCATCAACGCAGAAAGGAACCTCACATACCAAATTGCTTTGCATATAAACACCACCACCCCACATCCATCAAAAAATTTTCAAATCATTTTCAAAACATTCGTGTGAAGTGGATAATTACTATCAGCTTTTTTGCATTTTATTTAAGTTACAACATGTAAATGCCAAATGTTTTTGTACAGAACTCAGGTGATGGGCTGCAAATTATCTTTTTTCAAGTTTGCAGCTTGTCATAACACGCTGCAAGGTATATATATAACTCATCTATATTGAGAAGAAATGTATACAAATGCAGTTTCCAATTATTTATGATATAGTAAAGTATAGCTGCTGTACAATCAAATAAGTTGTAAAAATAAAAGTTAAGAAAATGAGTGTCTTACTGTTTGAAATAAAAATGTGAACAACTACCCTGGTTCCAGAGGCTTGTCTTGTATTATTTTGCTATGTTATCTGTGATTGGTTTGCTTGACTACAGCATGAAAGTGAAATTTACTACGCTTGTGACCAGAGGCTTGGCGTAAAAAACAAACCGATTAACGGAAACATCTCGCCGCTTTGCGCTCGATAACATAGTAAGCAAAAAGAATTAAAGACAAGCCTCTGGAACCAGGGTAGTGAACAACCACACTTAATAAACATATTTTCACATTTTATCTATTCACAAAAACATTTTCATTCAGGGGCGTACCCAGGATTTTCATTTGGGGGTCCTTAAATACCAATACTGACGTCATAGTGTCATATCAATCTATGGTTTTTCTCGCTTTTTTCTCTGGGAGAGGGGGGGGGGGGTACTCCCTCCAAACTTGGGTGGGGACCTCAAAACCCTGACCCTGTTCCAGTGTGAAATCGCTGAAAACTATACCCTGTTCCAAAGTATTAAAAATCATTCAAAACTATACCCTGTTCCAGAGTAAAATCATTGAAAACTATACCCTGTTCCAGAGTAGAATTGCTGAAAACGTACTGTATATCACTGTCACATTTCAAAGGACAGAGACATAGCAGTAGAGAAGTCACTTGGTCACTTGGTTATCTGTTCTCTGATAAATAAAGGTATAGTATCGTAACCTCAAGGAATCCCACGGATAAAAAGATTTGAGACACGAAAAAGGACATCCATTTAAAGTGTTGAAAGCAAAATCTCTTTATATTCATTTGATCAAGAGATAAAAAGAACTCTTGCTGAACAATGTCAAAATTAATTCATATAGAGCAATTGCAGGAAATCCATGAATTAAAATCAAATGCTCACAAATAGCGGCTATTTAGAGACAATTTGTCATCGATGAACCAGAATGTAATGAAGATATATCCACATGGGACCATTTTTAATTCATCTTCATTGCGTTCTGGTTCATTGATACTGACAATTTGCCTCTAAATAGCCACTATTTGTTAGTATTTAGTTTGATTTTACTTCATTGTTTTCCTGCATTTGCTCTATTAACTGAAGACAATAATTAACTCATGCTAGTCAAATTTAAGAATCCCTAGTTACATTGTAAAACTTTTCATGTCAAGCTGATGAAAGAGACCAAAAAAAAAACCCGGGACAGCAAATTCACAATTTCTGAAGAATGGTTGCATCAAATTTAATTTTAGTAAAAAATGTAAGGGAATTATGCTCTAATGTACATGAATGTTTTACAATTGAAAGTTTGTATCAGGAGTCCATTACATGCTGACAAAGTATCCCAGAAAAGCAGTTCTRAGCCAGTTTACATGTAATTAAGGATAACCCACAATATTTAATCTAAAATGGTAAATATCAGAGATTGGCAGAGCCATTTCCCTTCTCACACTGTGACATAGTTTGAAGTCGTATGACATGCATGACTTTTTCACATAATTATTTACATTTTCTTAATGGATAGTTTKATACATTCATTGTCAGACATAGTGGAGTCTTCATAAATTTACACGTGATATCCACCATAAGCATGATAGGCAACCCAATTAGATTTTAAATGTTCAGGCCTGTCCTTATTGGATGACGAGAACAATGACTTGTACACTTTACTGGCTTTAGGGTCCTCGGCAACAGTTTTATAATTGGATAGTTTTGGTATACTCATGTTTATTTTGGGCTGCTTTCCTTTCCCATTAGCTTTACTAGAGGCTGCACCGKTCATCTGGGGTCTTGAGTCAACTTTCAMTTTTTTAGAAGGGACTCCATCACTTTCATYACTTTGTRACTTTGCAGCTTGGGTATCAGATGAGCTAGTTGATGGCTCAGATGAGTGAAGACCATTAGACGTTGYTGTCGAGGTCACTGTTGATGAAGTCTTGTTCTTTTTGGACTTCTTTTCAAGCTTTGCTTTCTGTCTTCGCTCTGTCATGTTTGATTTCATCAACTCTAAATCTTCTTCACTACCATTTATAATGACGACATCTTCATTTGAAAAGGGCTTAGCACATTTATGGCATACAGGAGATTTTACTTCTTTTAAAGCYCGCTCAGAAAACACACATCCACACTTCCATAAGAAGCAGAACTTATACCGTCCATTCATCTCGATACCCACTACGGGACATACATACCGGCAGGCTTGGAAGTCTTGATAACTGTCAGCTTTTTCACCATTAGATTTCTCCTCAAAAGCTGGGTTTTCTGTAAGTTGGAGTTCTTTGGTGTCCCTCAAAGAGCGAATGTGTTTGGCTACTTCTGTAGTAGCTGAATCTTTGTCTAAGAGATATTCAAGTAAGGATTCCTTGTTGTAAAGGTTTCCAAGCTCACAAGAAACGATGGGAGCTCGAAGTGGCTCTTGAGTTATGGCACAGTGGAACCATTTGGCGTTCAGTTCGAAGTTCTTGTCGACTTTTTCTGGTTTCTTCTTTAGTCGAACCATCTCATCTCGCTTGGGAATCGTTCCTCCATCACACCCCATGTTTGACGCTGTACTTTCAATTAAACGTGTTAAAAAAACGCACAAAAACTGCGAAAAATGTATTCGACGACACAAGGATGAAATCAACAAAATGGCCACCGGAAATCTCAAATCCCAGCATTCTTTGCGATATAACAATATAAACACTGACACAGGAAGCCCAATCATTGTACTCTTTTTGAAAAAGATTATTGACTAATCCTTTCTATATTGATTTTCCATTTTGTTCAAATGAATAAATAATAGAACGTATTCGCATAACCCACT